GCCATTGCTTGGCCAATGTGCTCTCTGTGAAAGCCTGAGAGAATATTTTCTCTCCATGTGACTCTCCTTAGGCACACTCTACATCATCAATCACTTTCCTCTTTGGCCCCATAATCTCCTTGATCAAAAAATTTGGAACACTACTGAGTTACATGACATTATAGTATAAGTTCTCATATGTCTTGAGTCTTAATTGACCTTGGAAAGCTAGGGCCAAAATGTTGGCTTTCCTTGCGACCTTCCTTTTTCTCTAATTTTGGTCTGCAAACTTAGGTTGTTAACTCTCCAGAAGGGAAGTTTATTTTTATTACCATGCAACCTAGGCTGTTAAGTTTAAGCTCACTATCTGTCTGAATATCAAACATCTTAGGCATAACGTGGAACAGGTATTTTTCATCAAGTATGTTGAACTTTAAGTCCCTACAGAATATGATGAAAAAACATTGAAAAATTAGAATATATTTTAAAATAGGCGTAAAGAATTATATAATTCTTATGTTTACACGTAAGTCCAAAAATCTCACCATATACAACCTTGAAGCAGGACATTCCCACAACATTCCTTTTCCTGTCTCCTGCCTTCATTCACCACCTCCTTCTTTTTGAACAATCATCTACCAGAGAGACTCTTATTTTAATAAGGCTGTTAGCTTTAAAGGAGTCTTATGAGGTTTTCAAGGCTTGATGAGCTTATTTACAAATCCACATTCAAGATTTAACCAGTAATTACAGGAAATTCATTACATAGCTATTGCAAAGTCTAATTAAGATAGCTTAAAATAAGATTATACAAGCTTATTAAAATTAATATTTGTTTACATTTATATTATAAATATGTGATTTTTAATAACTCATTGTACAATGATTATATATATATATTTTTTTCCTACTAGCTCTCTATACAAGCTATGGCAGCAGATGCCAGGAGATGGTATCTGACAAACACAAAGTCTTCAGTCATTTCCCAACATATTTCTCTCTCTTTTACGAAGCCCTCTTTCTTTTCTTGCTCAGATGCTTCAATTTCATTGCAAGCCTTCCTAATTCTGAACTTACTGGGAATTGAAAAAAGATATGGCAGGAAAATGTCCGCTGGTTTTCCACACAACCTCCTGCCTGGGGTTTCCATAGATTCACAGATCTCTGAGTCCTTTCCTGGGACTATCTGGGGATCACAGGCTTCATGTTACCCTCTCTGGTTTCCATCAACTTCTCTATATTGTGCTTCAGAGTTCCATCATGTTCCAGCATGTAACCCCTTCCAGATCAGCCGTGCATAGCAAAGTCATCGACTTTCTTTGTACAATGTGGTACTGAGGGGACTAGATGAAGAAAAGTCCAGCTAAGATATGTTATGTAAGAAAATTGTTCCAGGAAAATGTTTTAGGTAAGTTTATGGTCCTAGGACTGTTTAGTATTCTACAATGTCACATATGTATAATTCTGCATGAGCAGGATATGTGGATATGTGCTAAAGATGAAGTATTATAAAAAAATAGCCATTTGGATAAGACTTAAAGCAATAAATAATAGAAAAAAAACAAGTTGGAGAAAGGGGTAAAAAAGATAGATTAACTATATCCAATCTTTTTTAAGGTCCTCATTAATTTTTTTTTGCTTTTTGAAAAATACAACATAATTTCATAACAAAAATAAAAGTAACAATAGTTAATATAGCACATCATTGTATTTAAAAAAAGTGTATAAGACATAAGCTAAAAGACTGACTTCCAAAGAAGTAACAGATAATAGCACAAAAATTTCTTTTCAGTGAATTAAGAGAAACTGGTAGTATAAATGAAACAAACTAGCATGCATATTCTTGTGAAAATGCTTTCCTTAGGAGATATCCCAAGGCAGCCAGGCCTCCTAATAGATGGTTGATAAGAACCATGTGCTGGCTCCAGTGAAGAAAGAAAACAAGATAAATTCATGTGTAAAAATCAAAATTGAGAATCAACTATTTGAAAGTTCTAGAAAACCATTTAGTCTGTTAGTGTTTGAGACTGTTAAATTATAGTACAAGTTCATTACTATTTAAAGATAATAGTTAATGCTCCAGGTACAAACTCAGAGTTACTAAAACTACCTAACCCTCATTCATCCAAATCAAATCTAATATTATGAGTTATTTGTATTTGGCCAGGGATCTTATTTCATATTAGAAGATGGGAGGAATATAATTTATAAATCATAGTTTAACAGTCTTCTGTACATTTAATTCAAATATGCACATATTTTCTTATATAATGGGGCATGTAGGCAGGATATTATAGCTTTTTTCATGTCAGTGACAATATCTGAACCCATAATTTAAAGATAGAGAAAATTAAGATGAAACAACTTTCCAAAAAGTATATTTGAGGAAAAATTGTGTACTTTTGTACAAAATTGGCTGAGTAAAGGATTCAACTAGGATTGCCGAAAGAATTCACTTTTCTTGAGTATTCCAGAAAGCACAAAAACTGAAGCTCAGAAGAAAATAAAACTGCCAACATTTGCAATAAATCACCCTGATTATCATTATGACTAAATGAAAGCAAAATGAAAGTTGACATTTCTTTATTTTATATTTCAGAACTAAAGATCAAACAATGAATAAAGAAAAAGGTCTACTGGGCTTCATAAGTCTGATATCAAAAATAAAATTATTTTTATTGATAGGTGGAATTGATCTGGCATTTCACAAGAGAAGATAACTAGATTTTTAAAAATGAGTTTCTTCTCTTTTATATAGGACAGTCTAACTATTTAAATATTTTAGAAGTAATTTCTCATGGAAATTGAATCAATTCTATATGTGCCTGAAGCACTCTAATGAGTTTTCTCAACTTCTTTCCCTCCAACCAAGGGATAAGTCAAAGGTTGGAACCTCTGAAATTTATTACATTGTAGAAAGTACAATTTTCTGTTGAGGAAAAAATATTATACGTTGCTACTAAATTCAACATAGAAAATACCAACTTATGAGAGCTAAGGCATGAATAGAAAAATCTTCAGTTGGCTAATAACAGAGAAATGTTCCTGTTGCACTTTAATTCATGAGTATTTAATCCATGAGTATTTAATTCATGAGTATTTGAATGCGCTTTCTGATCCTATTTAAGACAAAGTTCCCAAAATGCTTTTCATTCCAATTTCCCTGAAGTTTTATTATGAGTTGTACTCATTCGAATTGCTATTGACAAAAAAAAAATAGTGAAGAGTGAACATGCTTTTTCTCATAAATTTGATCTGGACATTTTAACTTTACTGTTCTTCATTTTTACTAGTGCATGGATGTTAAGACTAATCTGTCACCATTTTAAGCATCAGGGCTGAGTGAAATCAGTTATATGTACTTTCAGGTTCATAAATCATGATAGTTTAAAAAAATTAAAACAAGTTTTAAATAAATAATATAAAATCGTAGTTCTCCACTATACAGTTAAATAATTATAAAGCAAGATTTATCTTTCTTTACGTTCCACATAAACTCTACCTTTTATAGTCCACTCATTATACATTGCAGTTTTCTTGATGACTAACTACATCCTTCTAATGTATCAGAAGTCCCCTCTCTATAATTCGTAACAGCTAGACATTTGCTGCCCAATAACACAGTAACTCCTGCCTTAAACTTTAAGACCTTGGAATTATTTGTTCATTGGTTTTCGTAGCAAAAAGATGGTAACTTGCTAAAGTTAAGAAAGCAATCAAGGGCCAGCAAGATAGCTCAGTGGACTAAGTACCTGTTTAGGTAAGTGCAGGGACCAGGGCTCAACCCCTAGCACCACATCCTACTCCAGCCCAGCCAGCTCTGCTACTGGGTGTGCTGAACCAGCCACCCAGATGGGGTGTGGTAGTGCATGCCTGCAATTCCAGCACTGGGGAAGCTGAAAACAGGAGGAAGCTGAAAACTATGAGTCAGAGGTGATTAGTGAAACCCTGTACCAAATACATTAAAAAAAAAAGCAATCAAACAAAAACTCAAAGGCAAGTATAACAGCACTCTAATTTTAAAACAGCAATTAAGTTTTTAATGGACTGATAAAATTGTAATTAGTGTACTACATGATATTTTGAACTTACATACATTGTAGAATGGTTCAATCTAGCTATTCTATATTCACTATAGAGTCGAGCAATTTTATGTATAAAATTGCTATTATAGATTTCATCAAGATCATGTGTTTAGGGTTACTTTCCCTTTTAATGATTAAAACAGAGTAGTGGAAGACATCTCGTCTCACCTTCCTGCAGTGCTAGAACCACTATCTTCACTTTCCCATTGATCATTTTTACTTCTTGGAACTGGGGGCTGCAGCATTTCAGCAGCTAGTGGATCAGCATCATTTTCTTCTCTACCAATCCATTCTCCAATAACACGAGGCCTCAGAAGAGAAGAATTAAAAGCCACTGTTTCCTAAAGGAAAGAAAAGAATGTGCTGTCTTAAATTGCTTTTTTTATTAATAGATAACGGGAAAATCTCCTCATCGAAAGTCGTGACCACTCACTCAAACTAAAATGTTTCACTTTTCTCTTGGACTTGATGTGAAAATTCAGTTCTCTCCATTCTGCACAATGCCTTGCTCTACCATAAGTGAATTGTGCTAATTCCTAAAGGTCATGTGATCTAGGAGTGAAACCCTGCAATTTGCTGCAGAAGATCACATGTATCTCAGAATGAAAGAGCAGAGCTAGCATCCATGCTGGGAAGAAGATGCTGTTGCAGGGACCACAAAGATACAGAACATAGTAAATAGTATGGTTCCTCTTCAGGAAACTGGGATGGGACCAAGAGACAAAAGCAAGAAGTGGTAAGTCCAGAAATCTGAATTACCTTCACCTGGGAAGAATTTTAACTTACAAGGACAAAATAAAGGTTTGAAGTAAAGAAACTATCAGCAACTAGAATGTTACCTTAATTCAAAAATGTCAGTCTCTTTTTACAAAAAAACTCAAGTGAAGTGACTGATTCAATCATACAACTTGGTCACGATGTCACTATGAAAATGATTTTCAGAACACCCAATACATGTGATTTCTTGGGGTGTATTAGGTGAAAAAACAAGTTAAAAATCATTATCTGTAATGTGATCTAGTTTTTGTTTTAGAATCATATGGGTTTATTTCTACAATTCATTCCTTAATTCATAAACCTATAATTTCTCAAACATTTATGAAGATTTGGTATTGCAGGTAACTGATATTCCAGAATAATAATGAAAATGAACAAAATTTAATAAAGGTTTTATCTGAATGTAGGCGCTAGAGATGATTTTAAGTATTTCTGTGTCTTTTCAATTATACAATAAATATGTTTTTCTCTGATCATGTTTTCAATACCTTGATCTGAGAAACACGTAAGTTGCTTAAATTATGTTTAGCTAAAAGTTTTCATATAATAAGTCCCAAATAAATCCTTAACAATTAGTGGTGTTCTGAATAATCAAAAAATTATAGTCACAAAAATGTTATATGGATTTAATACACAATTCAATACAAACATGATATTATAATACACAAATGTAATGAATAATATATAGACACAATAATTGTACATGAGTATTTTTATAACAACAAATTTCAATGACAAATTGAGTCAAGAAAACAAAGATCTCTAGTGAATTTCAGCTGTGAAATCATTCAATGTTTTGAAATAACTGGTATATTCACCTGCCAAAATTTAAAAGGTTTAGAAGAAATGTAACTAAAATTATAGTGGTAATGTATATTCTATCTATAAATATTTATTTTAAAAAGCAGATTGGGGCAAAATCTTGCTTTGGACTTAAATATCTATGAGCATATTTACTGCTCCAGAATCTATTTTGACCTATTTTTCTTAGAAATGGTATTTTTGAATATCACTTTCTCCAGTTGTAAAATGGACATGATGAGAATTACAAAACTTACTATATCAAATGAATTAGTATATAACATAATGAAATTATAAAATTCTGTACATATACTAGACATAGTTATTTAAGGACACAGACTCAGTTCAAACCATTTCTATATATATAATATGTGTAGAAATACAGTAGTAAATAGAACTGCCCAAATCGGTCCTCTTGGGTAAGAATGGATGCTTGGCTGTCAGTTTGGGCAGAGGAAGAGCAGGGAGTTGATAGTATGGATTTTCACTGTAGAAAATTTTATTTCATAAAGTATCAAAGAGGTTGAATAATTAATTCAATGTGATTAATCTTATGTACATAATGATTTAGAATTGGGCTTGGAGGTTTATCTTGTTCTACAGAAATGAGTAGGTTTAGGCACTGTAAAGAGAAAGAAGTGAAATACAATTTAGATTTAGGTAGGATAAAAAAATTGAGAATCGCAGAGAATCAGAAGTAGCTCCTTGATTGCTTACTGGGAAGTTAAATACAATGATAGGCACTGCTGCAGTTGGAAAGTGGAGTTCAGAGGGGAGGAGAAATGGTTTGATGTTCAAGATATTTACTCCAACTGGCAGCAGAAATTTAGTTTGAAATAGCCCATGAGCAAGGTAACCAAAGAGCTGCAAACACGGTCAGGGAAGTTAGAAAGTCAATGTTTTATGGGTGAAAAAGTAGGGCTCTACTCCTTTTATCTTTGTGCATAAACTCCTTTATATGCTAGTGTTGATGAAAAGAGGAAGCAAAGAATAATTTTTCTTTCAAAAAATGTTGCATCTTTCTGAAAATTCTTGAATCTATTCTACTCACATGTAAGTTGAAATAGCAGACTTATCTCTGGCTGTATTGTTTACACTTTGTTACATTAAGCAAGCATCTTTTCATGGATCTCTCTCAAAGTGCTTTAGTGAAGAGAGCAATTCTCAAAGCTATATTCATAAGACTAGAGGCATCATCACTGGCAAAATAAATGTAAAGATGCACACCGAAGCACAGTGTTTTCAAAAGCACTTGCAGCAAATGGTATACAAGTACTTTAAAATTTCATGGATAACTTGTAAATTGGAATTACTCTTTATAAATGTCAAACTACATTATCTTTACCCTATTTAAGTGAAAGTTTCCTAGATACTGAGGGTCTTAAGAGAGCATATTTACATTTATTGAGCAAGCATTTTTAGCCAAAAGTTCAGCTAAAGGGCACAGATCTGCTTATGATACATCAGCAACACACTCATATGTCTAGGAACTAGTTACTCTACCCGGAACAACTCTGGTCAGGAAGGCTGCTTTCTGTGGCTAACTCACAGTGAGTTCAAGAGCTCTGGCCATGAGCTAGATCATGTCATCATCTGGTTCTCCAATGTCCTCAGGAGTCAAGATTCACAAGCTTGGTTACCAGCCTTGGTGTTACTGGGGAGAGTAAATCATTTAGGAGGTGGGGCCTACTAAAGGAAGTTAAATCATTCTCATTGGCGTCATACCCTTGAATGGGATATTGAGGCTCTGACTTTGTTTTGGTTTGTGTTTAATTGTCTCCTCCAAAGCCTCATGCAGTCATTGGGGTGGGATTCTAGAGTTTGTGATTAATTCATAATCCAGTGCTGGGATTATGAGTGTGAGTGCTACATGCATGAGTAGCCTGAATGGAATATAAGGAAGAGAGAAAGTCTTGCCCTCTGCTTCTGCTGCTACTGCTTCTGCTGCTACTGCTGCAGCTGCTCTTCTACCACTGCTTCTTTATTTCTGTTCTTGCTATTTTGTTGTTTTCCACAGCCATGAACTGCTGCCCTCTGTCATGTGCCACTCTGCCTTGGAGCCAGCTGATTATGGACTGAAGCCTCTACAAACTGTGAACTAAATAAACCTTTCCTTCCTTAATTTTGAGTGTTGGGTATTTTGTACCAGCAATGAGAGAAAAGTAACTGAGACAGGCTTCTTTCCCACTCTTGGCCTCCCAGGCACCACTAGACAAGCAGCTTTTCACGCTCCCTTACCAAAAATCCAGAGCAGTAGGGGCCAGGCAAACATGGGCTTGGCAAAGATTTGAGACATAAGCAACATGCATGTAGAAGGATAAATGATGATCATCTCAGTAAATGATTCTAAGAAATTTATTGTCTAGAATGGGGACAGTATATTAGATAATAATAATTGCTGGTGGAGGGCAGATCTACATATGAAAAAAATTGAAGAAAATAAAAGACAGTACTTTCATAAGTCCAGGTAGTAATTGATTTAACAAATACACTAATACTACAAGTTAATATTAAAATATTTATTAATAATAAGCACTGTTTAAAGGATGCCCAGAATAAGGTAATAAGGTCCAGACATAAAGCCAACAGACATGGTCATCCAAAATACATAATAAACTCACCAAAATCAAAAGAAACAATATCTTAGTAAGAAAAATGGACAAAAGAAATGAGCAGGCATCCCACCTTATTAAAAATGATAACATTGCTAACTGAGTCCCCAAAAAGCAACCGTTCAATAAAATGTTGGATGGCAGACAGTGCAGCAGTGTTGGTAAGAATTACGAGTAAAGAAAATATTACAAACTGTTGGATTGTGTGTAAATTAATATATACTTCATAGAGAAAAATAGTGAATTATCTAGTAAAGATAAAAATGCACATGACATATTGCCAAGAAAGTCAATTTCTAATTCTGTGCCTGAGAGAAGCAAGCTATTGCTGATGTAGGCAGGGGAATGTTTGAGTCAGCATTTGTAGCATTTGTTTGTTTGTTTGTTTGTTTGTTTGTTTTTGGTAAGAATAGCTTGAAGAAACACACTTGCAGTAAGATACCATTTGTATAAAGTTTAAAACTATACAGAACCAAAGACAGTCTCTCAGGAATAAGTGAGTGCACACATGCATATGTGTGGTAAAATAACAAAGAAAAAAGCAAGATAATAAAATTCAGTATAGGCTGAAGTTAGCTATCATCCAGCATAGTTACACAAAGCTTTCAGCTACATCAATAATAAATTATCCTTCAATTTTAGATGTTAGGCATTCTTTTTTGTTATACATTTTATATTTTGATGCATGATATATCCATATTAACTTTTACAGTAAACAGAATATATTCTAGATTTACAGGAGGCCAATTAGCTGTGATTTTTTTCCCTTTTGGTCCAAATATATTTCCTTTGCAACTTATTATCAATTTATCTCTTAGCCAATCAATACTGCATATCATTTCTAGGGGAAAAGTAAAAGCAATCTGAAGAGAATTTGTTGATCTTCTCATTAACAGGCTAATCAACAATTAGCATTCTTGCCTACAGCTCCATTTGAAGCATCATTTCTTGTTTTATAAAGGCTGACATATAGAAAGTACTCAAACATTTGTGGAGATTATGAAGTAATGATACGAAGTTTAAATAATAAATAATTCAATAATACACTGTGAACATGACTAGTTATTAGGGAAACACAAACAAAACAACAATAAAATACTACTTCATGTCCACAATATACAGATAATTTCAAAGACAGACAATAATTAATA